ATTCAGATCAAAGATGTGAGGTGGGCAGTGCATGTCATGTCATGTGCATTGCAATTTGCAAACAAAAAATAAGACAAAAAACATATTTAACTCAATATTTTTTTTTTGAACAAACGATTATATCTACAGTAAAGGGATAGAGGAATGGACTAAGCTTTACAATAAGTTTGCCATAATAATGTAGTTCAACTTCACATTTGACGAGAATCAAACCTAAAACCTCTCATTTATAAGTAAAGAAAAATACATTCTTATGACATACATTCTTTGCTCATGTTACTACCAACCTTCTTTTTATTTTCTTCTTTTTCTTTTGGCTAAGCACATTTAAATTGATTCCTGCCACCTCTAGATAAAGGAAAAGAAATTAAAACCACAAAAAAAATTATTTTTATTAATCACCGTTAGTCTACAACATAATTGGCCTATTTGTCAAGACATTTTTTGTTAAGCAAATTACTCCCCAGAGTCCAAACCTCACATTAACACATAAATACAAAAAAGAATCATTTGTCCTGATAAATAATTCTTTCCCTCTCTGTGAATTTAAATAGTTAATCAATTTGATTCCTAAGTATATGGTAAGTGAAGCAAAGAAACATCACAGTGTTGAAGGAAAAATATGTATGTGAATTGCGCGTTCTGTGGCCTTATGCCTTTATTTATACTATTTGGGTCGGATTTACTTGCCTTACAAGTAATAAAAGTCATAATGGAATTATATATCCCGAATTCAATTGAAATTCTACTTCTAAATTTACACAATTACACTCCTAAATAATAATAAATATAAAACATAGGATGATTTATATAATTGCATTGTTTAATGTTGGTACTAATTAGATATTTTAACATTTTCTTTCAAGATACTTTAATGCACCTAAATCGTAGTTATCAAAACAAAACGACATATTTTCTTCCTGAAACAAAATCAAAACTAAAACCTCGTTTGGGTTGTTTTGTTGCAAAAACAAAAACCAGCTCATTTCATCACTTCTGTTTCTTATACATATTCTTAAAATTCTTCTCTCTCTCTGACCTTTGAGATGGTGAAGGAACTGAGGGTTGAATCGAACCCAATATTGTCATTCCACAAAAACAACCATGCGTTTGTGAAGTTTGCAGTCTCTTTTCTCTTAGTTGGTCTCGCTTTTCGACTCTTGTTTTCCGATTCTGTACTTCCTATCGGATTAAATTTACCAGTAGAGCCACCTCCTCTTGCATCTGCAGACCAACAACAAACAGACTCCTCCTCCTCCTCCTCTGTTTCCGATTCTTCTTTATTTCCTGGTCAAATTCAAAACTCTACAATTGTTGATTTTCCTGGAAATACCTCCCAAACATATGACAATGGTAAGTAATTATCTTTTATTTCTGTCTCTGTTTTGGTGTTTTTGTCTTGTGAAAATTTTATTTTATATGCGAGCAATATGCTTCACTAAATTCATCAAAACTTAGAAGAAAGGATACGAAATTGGGTGCGGGAGTAGAGCATGCTGCTCTAGCCAACTTGGCTAAGACCAAGTCTGCAAATGCAAGTGAAATATTAAGAAGAAAAGGAATGTGTTTATTTTCATTTTTTGAAACTTTATACAGTTTTAGTACTAATTTACAAATGGAAATTCATGCTTGCTTTTTTTTTTTTTTTAATTTTTCTGGGGACAGAGGGGATGCATTTTTCAGTTATAGACTTGAATTTTTTTTTCCATTTGAAGTGATTTGTCCCTTCCTTTTGCATTCATGCATGAATATTAAAATTCTTCATTTTTTAAGATCAACTTTCTCTACTTGCTTTTATAGTTTTAAGTTTTAACTCACATTGTTAATTTAATCAATGTGGAGTTGTTTTTCATTAATTTTATTTTCTAGGATAATCAGTTCTTAGATATATTTAGTTGGTAAATTTCTAGCTGTGAAATCCCAAATCATTAGAAAGAACTGCATTTATAATTCTAATTTCTTTTGCAAATTTTGGCACTGAAAAGTTTGCAGTATATAGAATTTTTTTTTTTCATCCGGTCGTAGAGTCCAAAGGTTACGAGAGACCAATCCGGCAGAACAACTCAAAAGATAAAGAAATATTGTTAATTTCTTCATGCTGGTTTCAAGTGCCTTCGTTGTTTTCGGAACATACTTTTAGGCTTTTAGCTTCTGCTCTTCTTTTAATGCAAGTATGCAACTGATTTATTTACTTTTACTAAATAACGTACTTGCAGTAAAGTGTGACCTTTTTACCGGAGATTGGGTACCAGATCCGTCAGGTCCAAGATACACTAGTGAAAGCTGCCATGTGGTGGAACCTCATCAGAATTGTATGAAGAACGGTCGCCCCGATTCCGAGTACTTTTACTGGAGGTGGAACCCAAGAGACTGTGAGCTACCCAAGTTCAATCCGCAGAGTTTTCTTGGTATAATGAGGAACAAATCATGGGCCTTCATTGGTGATTCGATTTCGCGTAACCATGTGCAGTCATTGCTTTGCATTCTCTCTCAGGTACACTCGAAAGAAATCAAATTTACTACCAACTTTTCGGGACTTTGAATCACCATTTGAAATCTAGCTTATGTTTACTGAATCTATATGCTTTAGAACTACTAAACTCTGTAAATTTTCTTGGTATTTCCAGTTAACCACAATAGTTTCTATGCGTCTATGACAATTTAGTTTTAGTCGCACTGAGTTTTCACATTGTTGGAGGACGCCATGAGCTCAAATCTCATGGACGGCAGTTGTTGCATCTAAATGACGTTTAAAAAAAAAAAAAAACCGGCAAAAGCAAAGTATTATTTACTTTCAAAAGTTGAAACGTTAGCAACCTTTTTCTCTTTGGAAATTGTATGGAAGTCTAGATCTAGTTTAGATCAAATTATGTTGTGGGACAAGTGGTTAATGTGTATTAATCATGGGGGGCATTGGTCCTACTTTCTTTGATTACTCCATATAATTCTCTTATCTTGGCAAAAAAGCATTCAAACTTTTTCTTGGCTTCACTGGCACGTCTTTGTCATAATTTTCGATCTGTGGTTAGCAATCCTACTTCAAGCCATAAATTTTTATACAAAATTGTGGATTACAGCTGAACTTCTATGGTGACCACTGCTTTTTAATTGGTTGTAGAATCTTTTTCATAGCTGGTTTACCTACTATCTATCTGGGATCATAATTGTTTCGATTCCAACATCGTTTTGGGAACGTTAATAATTACTGATGTATGATTACCTCCTACAAGTTTTTATATGCAATTATCAGTGTGGAAAAGTTCTTCTGTACCCCGGTTTCCCAATCCTCGGTGTAAATAACCCAATATTGGTTCACAGTCAATAACATCTTCACCATCTGGAGTAATGATGAGTCGAAGAACAGCATGCATTGATATCTCATTCTTCCTCTCGCTTCTCACGTGGGCTTGGGAAAAAGAGATTGGAAGAGAGAGAGAGGGAAACCGGGTCAAGGAAGTTTCTCTCGTATGTACCGACCCCATAGTGGTCGATATGGCATGTATATGTATATATTTGGACCCTATAAGTCCGGTGTAGATACGGACCTACCTGACCTGACATTCTTGTATAGTATACTTACTGTCTCCACTATTTATCTGTTTTGTAGCGTGTTGCATATATTATTTGCTGGCATTCCATTTTCTGCTGCCAAATGATAATATTGGTCACAATTCAGTGTATATGTCCCACAGGTGGAGCAAGCTGTTGAGGTATACCATGACAAAGAATACAGGTCTAAAAGATGGCTTTTTCCTTCTTACAATTTCACTGTTTCGGTAATTTGGACTCCGTTTCTCGTCAAAGCAGCTATTTTTGAAGACATGAATGGAGTTTCTACTTCCGAAATCCAGCTTTATCTTGACGAGCTCGACAAGACATGGACCGATCAGTATAGTAGCTTGGATTACGTGGTGATTGCCGGAGGAAAATGGTTCCTTAAAACCGCAATTTACCATGAAAACAACACGGTCAGGGGCTGCCACTACTGCCCTGGAAAGAAATTAACGGAGTTTGGGTTTGACTACGCCTATCGCAGTGCCCTCCGTCTGGTTTTCAATTTCATCACTCGTTCGGATCATAAAGCGCTTGTATTATTTAGAACCACCACGCCTGACCATTTTGAGAATGGAGAGTGGTTCAGTGGGGGGTATTGCAATAGATCAGTGCCATTCAAAGAGGGTGAGGTTGATATAAAAGATGTAGATGCTGCAATGCAAAACATCGAGCTGGAAGAATTCGAGAAGGCTGCGGCCGAAGGATCGGAGAAGGGGGTGAACTTTAAACTACTGGACACAACCCACCTTTCGCTATTGAGACCCGATGGGCACCCAGGTCCGTACAGGCAGTTCCAGCCATTTGCAAAGGATAAGAATGCCAAAGTCCAGAATGATTGCTTACATTGGTGCTTGCCTGGGCCAATAGACTCTTGGAATGATTTGGTTATGGAATTGTTGGTCAATGGCGAAAAATATCGATGATCAAACTCTTGGCTTATCAAGCTCACAAGCATTTGCAATCCTGTGAGCAAATCTGTGCCTAAAACAGTCGCGACGCTGACCCGAAATACATCAGAGCTTATAAATGAAACTACAATTCTCACAAAACATCCCATTTCTGTAAACTTATGTATCTACCATTACCATTGCTGAAAAGAAGAACGCCAAAATTCCACACAAGTTCATCGTTAAGAAGCAATTTACGATTTACAAGTCTCCCTGCCTCACACAACTACTGGCATCATATAAAGCAATACTGTTGCATCTTACCCCTCTGAAGTTCTCCGAAATCTTGGCCAGCATCACGCAGCCGCAGGACAGTGCAGATTTGCAGTTCGCCAAAGCGTTTCTTCTTTATACAAGAACCGAACCTAGAATCTGCCATTCAATCATACAAACACCACCCGAGCTAAACCTCACGGGTATTTGCAGGGCCTAAATGTCTATATGCATCATATACGTACTACTGAAATAAAATGAAACTACTAAACAATAATCGAGATGATCGTGACAACGGAAGCAATGGAATTTGATTAATTCTTCTCAGCTTGAAAAGCAAGAAATGTCAAGACAACAGATAAAACATATCCCACGAAATTTAACCACACAACCTTAAATCAGAACTCAAATTTGAATTCTGGATTATTAAACCGACAAGTCATGTCTGAAGGTGCAGCATCACCACAATTTTGCAGAACAACAAATAAAGACAGAAAGCCAAAAGCTTGAATTACATTGAAAATGCAGCTCTTTCACCTTCCTCCTCTTATTTGCTTGAAGTGGATGCATCCGCCTTCCTTGCCTCCGGCTTCAGAAATCGATCCTGCGTAATTCAGCAAAATGTAAATTACAATGCTCGTGTCTGCAAACAAGTTAAGCAAAAATACAACATAACCCAGCACTTATTTAAATGTTTTCATGATATACATACATATACGTATATGATGATGATTTTTGATCAGACAGCAACTGGGCACATTGAACCACAGTAAGCTCCAATTGGGAAAGCTAAAATGCTGATTTAAGTCTCATTTGGCAGGAATTTAGGCATATTAAACACACCTAGATGCTCAAATCGATGTAAATTAGCAGAAACCTAAAATTCCTAAAACTTGAATTAAGAAAATGAAGCACTGAAACCCTAGATTTTTTCCCCACTCGAAGGAGCAGGATCTAGACACATAAATCAAAACCCAATAGGCTCATTTGATGAATCGATAGTTTAACACAATTCGTGGATTTGAAAGAAAGAAATATTCCAGTTGATGAATCTGAAATTCTATAAAATAAAAATATGAAGAGATAAATGAATAAAAATGGAAATTACGTTATCATTGAAGACGAAGTTGGCGACGACGACAGTGCCTACTATGCCCCCCAAGATCGTGACGGGTCCCGTTAACAGACTCCATTTCCTGTATATCATCTTCTTCTTCCTCTTCTTCTTCCCCTTCCCCTACTCTTCTCTTGCTGTGTCTAGTTCAAGTTCGTTTAGGCTTTTGATTAATTTGGAATTGTAACGCAAAGAGAACCCAGTTTATTTGGGCTCAGCTTGGACTACCCAAAGTCTTAAAAGGGACCATATTCTTGGGCTTTATGTACACAAAAGCTTGATTTTCGAATGGATTGAATCAGAAAGAATTTCTTATTGCAATTAAAAAAATGTTTCAAATGTTGCAGTCTTATTAGTTACGAACGTGATCGTGTATCTTATGATATCTTGGTATATTCTTATGAAATTTTATCATATCTCTTAGATTATATATTATTCTATTAGAATTGTAATTTTATGGGGTAAGGAAGTTATCTTTCCCACTACTATAAATAAAAGCATAATGAGTGACATAATACAACACCTCAGAATCACACATCTCTCTCATCTACGCCTTGCCGTGTTGCACCCCCCTCTCTGTATTGTTCAGTTAAATTAGGCCTACAACACCAAAGAAAAATTTTAGATCATTTTTTGAAAATTCAATATTTATCGTAATTCAAAATTTTAACATGCATTCTCATTTTGATCCTAATTTATTTCAGATGTTTGATATAATTAAGGTGTCTGTCCATTTATTGTACCACTTTATGTGTAAGTGTTTGAGAGGGAGAATTTGCAAGTGGAACATATGCAAAAAGGTAATGCTACATAGACCAAGTTTGTAGACCAAATTTGCAAACCGAATGATATGTCACTAATAAGAAATAAACAATTTAATCAACACTAAGTAATATCCAATCATCAACTTCCATATAATTTGATTTAAAAAATTTGGTCTCCCTAGTATTACCCTATGCAAAATTCTAAAATATTTTTCGACAATTGATCAATTTGCAAGGGAGGAGCGGCATCCTTGCTGTGTGCAAGGGAGGGAGATTTCTGACTTTTGCAATTTTTTAAAGAAAAAATATATTATGTTAGACCAACTTCACCCAAACCCAAATACTTAGGTCCACTAAAAGATAGAATTTGGGTCTGTAAACAGTGAATGTCACTCAACTCTTAAGATATAAATTTTAGGGCCTAAAATGTATTAATTTTTGGTGGAATGGTTTTAACCCTAATTTTTTGTCGTAAGGATTTATTTTGTAACTTTGAGTTATGTAATCTTAATTTCATTTTATGAATGTCTTAACCTAAAAAAAATGAAATTTTGACAAAATTTTCAAAACCGAACAAATCATAATACAAATCATAATATAAATGATCAATCAAATGAATGAGTATTTACAAAGTTTGTGATAATTTACTAGCATTTCCTGTTATTTAACTTGAGAACATGTATATAGAAAAATGAAGAATATAAAACATGACTTTGAGATACGACTTGAGTCATTTTTATAAAGTGTTATTTGTCTCACTCGAATGAGTTTGCTAAAGTGTTCTTTACAAATCACTTTTATAATACAACTAAGTATAAAATATTCGATAAGTAAAACCAAATTCTTCCCTTAAAAGTAACTAGAAGGAAATTGTATGAATGTGATGGAGAGAAAAAAAAAACAAGGAAAAAGGAAATTGTGTTGAAAACATATTTCCTGAATAAATTCTTCTTTGCCACCGTTGAGTATATATAGAGACAGTTGCACCTTTTCAAATTAATTAGAAGTACATGACTATTCAACTGATATTGGTTCGAAATAGTCATGTATGTTCAAATATATTGTGCACTAGTATTTTCAACTGATATTGGTTTCGCCAAAGGTGAGGTGGATCAAACCTCCCTCGGGTTGTCTGAAGATCAATGTCGATGGCGCATTGTGTGAAGATAGTATACTTGTGGCTGCTCGTGCCAAACGGTTTTGTTTTGTGTTCTCTCCCCTTCAATCAGAAGCATTGGCTGCTAGGGAAGGCTTGTCGTTGGCGACGGAAAGGAGTTTTAATGATATCCATTTTGAGTGTGATTCTCTCAAGATCGTGAAAGCCCTGCTTGAGAGTTCTCCGAATATGTCTAACTTGGGGCATATATATTATCGAAGACTCTAAGGCTTCTCTTTTCAGGATCACTGGAGCTTTGATTGCCCATACATGTCGCCAAGGCAATGGTATTGCTCACCACCTTGCCCACTTTGCTCTTCGCATGGAAGGAACCTCTTGTTCTTGGTTCGAAGAGCCCCCTGACTATATTGTAAACTTGCTTGCTGTTGAATGCATTTGAGGCGGTACCTCCAGCTGCCTGACTCTGTAATTGATTCTACCCATTTTTTTACAATAAAAATTATCTACCGTTGCTATTAAAAAAAATATATATATACCTGATGCAAAGCACCAGTTACTCAAAGATCATGTCTGTGAGTAAAGGAATGCACGAGTTGATGCTAGGATGCCAAGTGGCATCACTTAGCTAGACCTGCTGTCTTAATTGTTGTTGAAGATCTTTAGTCTCCAACCAGCTATATAAGCTAAAGATATGTGCGGATGTAAAGGGTGAATGAATATTTGATTGTTTTAGTATTCTGGTTAGCATATCTTGCATTTGACTAAATGTTGAAGGGAGGTTCTAACAGATCATGTCTTCTAGCCAAAATGGAAAAGTTGCAATTTCCATTTTTCTTAAAAAGTAAAATTTCATCATGAAGATGAATCTTGCCCTTGCACCACGACGTGCGTTCGAACTCTGTCGGTTCTCTAATGTAACATCTAATTTAACAAATTTATAGTTTGACAAAAAAAAAAAAAAACAAATTTCTTAGAACATAGTGTTCGTTAATTTCTTTGAACTCGACTAAATTTGTTAAACATTTTTGAATTGGCTAATATTTTCCAAGGGTGATTTATAAAGTGCAACTTGAAAAATATACGGTTCAAATTGTTAAAGTTTAATGTGGAGTTGACCCCACATCTAGTCCTCATTTTTACCAAAACATGGAGATATCTTAAACAAAGGGGGAAAGGAGCAGATCCATGGTATCATATTTTTTGCACAAGATCCGTGGTATCATTAGTTGAGATTTAGCCTAATATGACAATTAATTTTTTTTTTTTAAAATAAAAACATACGTTCAAAATAAAATTATGAAACATTTTTTAATTATGACTCTGTTTCTCTCTCCTAATCCCATTAACTTTCCTTTTGTTTTGCTTTCCCACGAGAATCCAGCAATTTTGGTCAATTGAAATTTGATTGCCTGACCAATTAGTCATATTAGGCTGCTTTGAAAATCTGTTCTTGTTTGTGTTTTTTAGCTTCCTGTTTTGTTTGTTTGTGTCTTCTTTTAATGTCTCCAAAATTTCTTCAATCCAGCACTTCTATCTGATAATCCAATTTCTTCACCGAGGAAAATCGTATGGAATTTGTAATCCTTTGAGGTGTTTCTGGGGTGGTGAATTCAACATTTAATAGGAATGCCAGTTAAAAGATATTAGTTGACTACCTCGGTTATGAACTTTTCCGTAGGTGAATTTTATACATCAACCTTCTTTTTAAGAAGGCATCAAGATTGGTGTACTGATGCTTAATCGTGTAATTAAAATGGCATCACTCAAATAACCTTACTGGACTCATCTAGATATTATAGTGTTTGTCGTGGTTCTGGACTCATCTAGCAACCTTACTGGAACCGAAACACGCCACAACCATTTGAACCTAATAACCTTAGTGGAAAAGATCTTCCAGACTCATCTACTGCAAAAGAAATCCCAGAGTTGTTCCGTTCTTCCACTCACCAAGAAATAGAACAACTCCGAAAATCCAACATGAGAGAGTGCAGTGTGGGGGGGGGGGGGGGGGGGGAGCATGCACTTCCTTGGCCAGCAATGGTAAACAAAAACTGGAGAGAGCCATTGAGAGTTTTCTTACTTGATGAACCTTTGAAAGTCGCGCCATACGAGGCTTGCAAGGAACCATTAGGTTTTTGGCGCAATGGATTCTCACCGATCTTTGCGATACAGTGATTCTCACAACAATGATTCCTAAACTTGAACACATTTACATATTAGTTTATTACGCAAACAATAATGACAAACAATTATGAATTAAATTATGTTGGATTGACTAGTCAAGCTCACCGGTCAACTAAGTACAGATTTCTCAGTTAATTAAACGCAAGTCTACAAATCAAACTTAGTTCAGTACAAGTTATCCTAGTCAACAACAATTCAGTTTATTGCTCATAATATGCAGTGTAAACTTAGTTTCTAACGCACATCAAATAACAATTCATAGGATGCGTGAAACATATGCAAGTAAAAATAAGATATGTGGACAAGTTTAAGAGGCAAAGAACGAGAGAAGTTTTTAGCCGGAAAACCCCACCTCTGGGTTAAAAAATCGGAGACTCTCCACTAAGTTCAATCCACTAGTGTAAACACGATTCTTATAAAGTACCACACAAAGCTCAATTCCTAGATCTCTATCTATGGAACAACTTTACCTTTGTGAAACTTTACCTTACACGAGATGAACTCCTTCGGTGTTCACATAGTGGTAGCTCCTCCTGAGCTCTTCACCTGGCACCGAAATCAAATCAACTTATGCAAATGATGTTATGATGAAGTTGATGCAAATTTGGATTCGATGTCTAGTCAGTTTTACCAGTCAAACACTTGAAAGATGAAACTGACGCGAATCCAAAAAGAGATCAGTTTAAAGGTTTGAAACTTGAAAAACTTGACCAAAAAATTAAAACAAAACCATGAAGACAATGCTACCCTAATATGCAATGATTGAGTGTTTGATGCTTGGACATGGTTTTATGGCTAGGGTTAATGAAGAACACAAGAGGCAGCTCAAAGCTAAAATCAACTCTTTATGAAAATGTTTAACTCCTAGCCAAAACAAATGAGCATATAAAACGAATTTAAGCAAGCAATTTCAAAAATAGATTTATAAATAATCAATGAAGAGCTTTACCCATACAATATGCTTGGTGCTCCAAAGAGATCTGAGATGGAGATGAAAAATAAAGCTTTCAAAAATTTCCAATCTCAAACCCCAAAAATCAAAAGAACCCTAGGTTTAGCTTTTATAGAGGGTTTGCTGTTCGTACAGAATGGGGACCAGAAAAGCCACGCG